GAGTGGAATGCCTCATCCTGGGAGCAGATGCGGCGGAGGCGAAGGAATTGGGAATAGAGGATAGCATTTTTGCAGGAAGGTGGGTGGGTGGAGGAGTATTCTAGGTAGCTGTGGGAGTCGGTGGGCTTGAAATGAATATCGGTTTCTAGGTCGTTGCCCGAGATGGAGACAGAGAGGTCCAGGAAGGGGAGAGAGGTATTAGAGATGGTCCAGGTAAACTTAAGGTTGGGGTGGAAGGTGTTGGTGAAGTGGATGAACTGTTCGAGCTCCTCGTGGGAGCACGAGGCGGCGCCGATACAGTCATCAATGTAACGGAGGAAGAAGTGGGGTTTAGGGCCGGTGTAGGTACGGAAGAGGGATTGTTCCACGTAACCTACAAAGAGGCAGGTGTAGCTTGGGCCCATGCGGGTACCCATGGCCACCCCCTTTGTCTGTAGGAAGTGGGAGGAATTGAAAGAGAAGTTGTTGAGGGTGAGGACGAGTTCGGCTAAGCAGATGAGGGTGTCAGTGGAGGGAGACTGGTCGGGCCTGCGGGACAGGAAGAAGCGGAGGGCCTTTAGGCCATCTGTATGGGGAATGCAGGTGTAGAGGGACTGGACGTCCATGGTAAAGATGAGGTGTTGGGGACCGGGGAATTGGAAGTTCTGGAGGAGGTGGAGGACGTGGGTGGTGTCACCGACATAGGTAGGGAGTTCCTGGACCAAGGGGGAGAAAATGGAGTCCAGATAGTTGGAGATCAGTTCGGTGGGGCAGGGGCAGGCGGAGACAATGGGTCAACCAGGGCATTCAGGTTTGTGGATTTTGGGAAGGAGATAGAAGCGGGCAGTGCGGGGTTGGGGAACGATGAGGTTGGAGGCCGTGGGTGGGAGGTCACCTAGGGTGATGAGGTTGTGGATGCTTTGGGAGATGATGGTTTGGTGCTCAGGGGTGGGGTCATGATCAAGGGGGCGGTAGGAGGAGGTGTCGGAGAGTTGGGGTCTGGCCTCGGCGATGTAGAGGTCAGTGCGCCATACTACAACTGCGCCTCCCTTGTCCGCGGGTTTTATGGTGAGGTTGGGATTGGAGCGGAGGGCTGCACGTTCTGTGGGGGAGAGGTTGGAGTGGGTGAGAGGGGTGGAGAGGTTGAGGCGATTGATGGGACTGGGAAAGAAAAGGAGAGACAGAGAGAGTATTTGATTTCTCAGTATCCGTTCCAGGATTGTGACAGAAAAGACTCTGGACATGGGAGCCACATTTCAAATCCTGGAATGCAAGGCCATGACGTTGAAATGTATAGAATTCTTCTGAGGGTTTGACAGGCTGGATGCTGAGAGAATATTTCCTTCGGGCTGGCGTGTCTAGAGACCTGGATGTGGGCACCATTGCCTGGGCTAGCATTTATTGCCCATTCCTGGTTACTTCTGAGAAGGTGGTGCTGAGTTGCTGACCATTTGGTGTGGGTAGACCCACAATGCCATTAGGAAGGGAACTCCAGGATTTTGACCCAGCAACATGAAAATAACCATATGTTTCCAAGTCAGGATGTTGAGTAGCTTGGAAGGGAACTTGTAGGTGGTTGTGTTCCCATTTGTCTGCAGCCCTCGTCCTTCTAGATGGAAAAGGTGGTGGATTTGGAAGGTGTTGTCTGAGGAGCCTTGGTATAATTTCTGCAGTGCATTTTGTAGATGGTACACACTGCTGCTCCTGAATGATGGTGGTGGAGGGAGTGTATGCTTCTGGATGTGGTACCAATCAAGCGGCTGCTTTGTCCTGGATAATGTTAAGCTTCCTGAATGTTGTTGGAGCTGCACCTATCCAGGCAAGTGGGGTGTATTCCATCACACTCCTGACTTGTGCCATGTAGATGATGGACAGGCTTTGGGGAGTCAGGAGGTGAGTCACTCACATTGCAGAGCTGCTAGAATGTATGAACTTAGGACTGAGATGAAGGGAAGTTTCTCCATGTGTTTGATCTCTCTAATCGAGTACATTCAAGGCCCGAGCTCGATAGATTTTTGGACAATGCGGCAAACGAGAGCAGCAAAGTGGAGTTGAAGGAAAAGGTCAGCCATGATTTAGTCAGAAGGTGGAGCAGGCCCGAGGGACAAAATGGCTGACAAATTGGTCAACTCTTGCTCCTATTTTCGTTACATTTCTATATCTTTGGGTTTCATGAGGAGTAAAGAGGTGCTGGCAGCTGTGAGACCATAGTCCAGTGACCGCACCACTACCGTCTCTTCCGATGTGACAAAGGAAGAAACCGAGAGATGAACTGTGACTAAAGGATCAGCCAAAATTGGATGGGGAACACCGAGGTTGGAGGGGGGTGGGTGTAATGGAGCCTAATAGATGCCCTTGCCAATTGTTAGAGGTCACAGGTGCATGGGAGCCAGTCCTAGTGTTACAAGCATCAGGTTTTGCAGAATTCCCTTACTGGATCGCAGCGGATAGAGTGTGCAAGGTGGTCAGTCAGTTCCCGATGCAGGAGGCAATGTCCATGCTGCCCAGCATGGAGGCCTGTTACCGCGGCAGAGAGGCTAGCTGCACCAATCATGGACGGTGGGTATGAGGTAAACTCACCATCTGAAAGAAGACATGCCGCAATTTAGTTGCTTGACAATTTAAAGTCTTTTCCAAATCCCCACCTCTTCCAGACCCGCCTCTGCAATCGCTCAAAAATTACATGTGAAGTCTCTCAAGTTTCTAGATTCTTCCATGGGATATGAGCAAGGGCTCTTCCATGAGCAAGGGCTGCATCTGTTGCCCGTCCCTAATCGCCCTTGAATGAGCAGCTTGCAAAGTGCGGTTAAGAGTCAACCACAGCGCTGTGTGTCTGGAATCACGTGTAGGCCAGGCCGGGTAAGGATGGCAGATTTCCTTTCCTGAAGGAAACGAATGATGGGTTTCCATAACAATCGATAATAGTTGTCATGGTCACCATCCCTGTGAATAGCTTTCAATGAAGCATAGAAAATAGGAGCAAGGAGTAAGCCATTCAGCCCGTTCTGTCATTCAATATGATATTTTTTTTTTCCCCTTTATTCGTTCACAGGATGAGGGTATCGCTGACCAGGCAGCATTTATTGCCCATCCCAAATTGCCCAGAGGGCAGTTAAGAGTCAACCCTCATCACTGTGGGTCTGGAGTCACATGTAGGCCAGACCAGGTAAGGATGGCAGTTTCCTTCTGTAAAGGGACATTAGCAAACCAGATGGGTTTTCCCCTCAACAATTGGCAATGGGTTCATGGTCATCATTAGATTCTCAATTCCAGATATTTTATTGAATTCAAATTCCACCATCTGCTGTGGCGGGATTTGAACCCAGGTCCCCAGAACATTATCTGGATCTCTGGATTAACAGTCTGGTGATAATACCACTAGGCCATCACCTCCCTGATCCTGGCTGATCACCCAACTCAATAACCAGTTCCCACTTTCTCCCCATCCCTTTAGTCCTAAGAACTATATCTAATCCTTCTTTTAAACATTTAAAATTGCAAATGTTTTCAAACTTAATTTAATTATAAATTCTGGCACCTGCCCTGATGAGATTTGAATCCATGTCCCCAACCCGTTAATCTCGGGACTATTAGTCTCATGACATTGCCACGAAACCATCTTCTCCCCCCATTGTTGGGCAGAATTCCTGAAGGACTCTACCTGACTCTGCAAATGGCCCCCATTCTGCCTCAGTGATGTGCTGGTCTTTCCCACAATTCGCTCCGGTACCTATTGCGCAGAGCGCGATGAAAGTATCTGTGTGCTTTCGGACAACTTGTTCTTTGACCCTTGCCAGGCTTGTGGCTCGTATTAAATGTTCCACAAACTCCAGGGCGGTCGGGGCTGCAATATCCCATCGCAGTTTATTCAAAAGCAGCAGCTCCATTGTCTACAGAGAGAGGGAGAGAGAGAGAGAGACAGGAGGAAGAGAGTGAAACCTGTTGCAGTACACAACCAACAACATCACTATGAGCGAACAGCCTGGACAAGACGTTCAGGACCTTTGACCTCCTGGGGTACTCTCCATCTAATTCGAAGGTGATGTCCCTTTCCCTGAGCGGAGTCTGGGAAATCTTACCAAGTGGGACCTAAGATTGAGTGACCTGGAAGAGGCACATTCATCTGACGACTGCCAAATGACCCCAATACAAAGAGATAGTAAGAAGGGTCCCGACCCGAAACGTCAGCTTTCCTGCTGCTCTGATGCTGCCTGGCCTGCTGTGTTCCTCCAGATCCACACTGTGTTGTCTCTGACCCCAATACAAATGTGTACACCGGGATATTGTTTATAAATGGGTGGCTTAATTTTGTCTCCGGTTCTGTGTATGTTCCATTGTGTGGCGTGGGTGTGTATGTGCGTGTAGGGTGATGTGTGTGGGGGTGTAGGGCTGTGTGTGTACGGTTGTGTGTGTGGGGCTGTGTGGGTGGGTGGGTGGGTGGGTGTGTGGGGTTATATCTGTGTGTGGGATTGTGTATGGATGTGACTGTTTATGGGGTCATTTCTCTGTGGGTGTGTATGTGGTGGGTGTGTGGGGGTCTGTGTGAGTGGGGCTATGCCTGAGTTTGGGGGGTGGTTTGGGTGTGTGTGTGTATGGAGCTATGTCTGTGTGAGTGTACTGGAGGGGGTGCTGAGTGGATGTATGTGTCTGTGTCTGAGAATGGGTATGTTCGCATTTGTGTCTGTGTATGTGTGTATGTGTGTGTGTGTGTGTGCGTGTGCGCGCGCGTTGGGGATTGGGTATGTATTTATATATATGTGCATCTCAGTTGATCCATTGTGTCCAATTCTGGGCCCCACACCTTTGGAAGGGCATCCGTTCCCTCGAGACAACTTTCCAAAATAATACCAGGAATGACAGTCTTCAGTTTTAGTGGAGAGGCTGAGAGAAACTGAAATTGCTGTCCTCACAGCTTTAAGGGTGATTTAATAGAGGTGTTCAAAATTGTGAGGAGTTTCAACAAGGAAGCTAAGGTGCAACATCTTTATTCAGAGCAGAGGGAGTAGCTGAGGAGGATGTTGTTGATATATCATGGATAAGCACATGAAGAAGACAGGAATAGCAGGATATGGTGATAAGATGAGTTACAATAGTGGGTGGGAGGAGGCTCACGGCATTCACACCAGCACAGAGCAGATGGGCCAAATGGCCTATGTCTATGCTTTGAGTACTTTGTAACGCCCTGTGGACTGTTCCCATGGGCAGGATGGTCAATATCCAGATATAAAAATATCTGACAAGAGGAGCAGGAGGAGTGGGAATGTTGGTTCCTGTCATTAAGTGAGTTGTAGGGATCTGGAATGTGCTGCCTGATAGGACAGTGTCAGCAGAGTCAGCAGGAGCTTTCAAAAGCTTTTTAGGTGAATATTCAAAGCACAAAAGAGTTGCAGAGTGACAGTGAAAGGGCTGAGGTGAATTTGACGATTATCAGTCCAGCCTGTGATCTCACGGAACAGTGGTACAGACCCGAGGGGCTGAATGGCCCCCCTTCTGCTCCTTCTAGAGCTCTTTGAGTGCCAACACAGGCAGGATTGGCTGAATGGCCTCTTCCTGTGCTGCAGTCTTCTACAGACCCTTTGGAACTGAGATGAGGCAGGATTTCTTCAGCCAATGGATGGAACTCATTGCCAAAGAAGGCTGTGGAGACCATGTCATTGAGCATCTTTACAGCAGACATAGATAGGTTCCTGATTAGTAAGGGAATCAAGAGTTGTGACTGAGAAACCTATCAGCCATCATCGAATGGCTGAGCAGACTCAATGTGCCAAATGGCCAAATTCTGCTTCTCTATCTTATAGACTGTCTTCTTCCACACTTTTCCCACAGACAGATATGAACTTTCCCTGCTGGGATTAGTGTATCTGCTAAGGATGGCCTTCTGCCTATCCGACCTCTTCCTCCGCATCAGTGCTCGGGATGTGATGGCCTAGTGGTATTATTGCTGGACTGTTAATCCAGAGATCCAGATAATGTTCCAGGTTCGAAACGGCAGATGGTGGGATTTGAATTCAGCATAAATCTGGAATTAAGAGTCTAATGATGAAAGTGAGCCCATTGTCAATTGTCAGGAAAACCCATCTGGTTCACTAATGTCCTTTAGGGAGGGAAACTGCCATCCTTACCTGGTCTGGCCCCACATGTGACTCCAGACCCACAGCAATGTGGTTGACTCTTAACTGCTTTCTGGGCAATTAGGGATGAGCAAAAAATGCCTAGCCAGAGCGACACCCTCACCCCATCAGAGAAGAAAGGTCCATGGAGCTGGTGACAGTGTGGGGACCACCCCCTCAGTGATAGATCTGGAAGGGGAGTGGGATGTCACCCATTGGGTGCCACCGCGAGGAGTGACTCACCCGCAGCTCTTCCGGCCTGGACGAGTGGGCAGTGTAGGCGCACACGCTGTTCACAGAGAGCGGCCGGGATTCCCTGAGCTTCGAGGCCAGGAGCAGGCAAGCTGAGCCGAGCAACTGCAGCCTGGACTTCTCCAGCGGCACCACCGATAAGAACCGGTCAAGGTAGCTCATCGCCAGGGGAAACACCTCCTTCTCACAGCTTTCCTCTTCGCAAACCTACAGACCGGGGAGAGACAGACCAGGCAAACAGTTCATCAACGCCTGACTCCATTCGTGTTCCGCCGGCATTGTGGCTCAAAATGAAGGCGCTTCTTGACCTCACCCTGAAGCAGCAGAGCACGGGATGGAGAAGTTTAGGGAATTAATTCCCGAGCTGGGGACCCAGACATACTGAAGATGCGGCCGCCATTGATGGCGCGATTAAATCGGTGGATTTTCAATAGGCCAGGATTGAAGGAGCACAAAGCTGTCAGAGGGGTGTAGGTGTTTGGAGGAGGTTGCAGTGTTACAAGGGGGTAGTGGCTGGAGGAAGTTAGAGATCAGGAGGGGCGTAGGGGTTGGAGGAGGTTACAGAGTTAGGAAGGGGTAGGGGCTGAAGGAGGTTACAGAGATCGGGAGGGGTGTAGGTCCAGGAGGAAGTTGGAGATAGGGAGCAGGTGTAGGAGTTGAAGGAGATTACAGAGACAGGGAGGGGTATAGGCGCTGGAGGAGGTTACAGAGACAGGGAGAGGTGTAGGGGCTGGAGGAGCTTACAGAGATAGGGAGAGAAATAAGAGTTGGAGAAGATTACAGAGATAAGGAGGGGTAAGGGCTGG